AATATATTCTGATAACACCCCCCCCCCACCCTTTATTTTCATTAAAAATTTTTAATATCTAATTTTTACTAATCTTTAAAATTTTTTTTTTATTAAAAAAGAAATTTTGTGTGTGTGTGTGCGCGCGTGTGTGCGCGTGTGCGCGCGCGCGCGCGTGTGTGTGTAAAATTCTATTCGGAAATATTAGTTCGGCCCGCCGTAAAAAATTAGAAGCTCCGAATTCCGTTTGATTTTAAAATTTTATTATATTTGATAATAATAAAAAGTCAATTTTTTTCGAATTAATAAGTTCATGAAATGCGTAAATCTTCCTCATTTTATATAATTTTTGGGCTTCAACATTTTTTCCTCAGTAAGGTTTCAGCCTATCATTCTACTATATAAATCATTTACGCAAAATTTTCTTTTCTTGATAAAGGAAAAAAATGTACAACAGAGACAAAATAAATATGGGACATAAAATAGCAAAATATAATAAGCATACTATATTATGCAACAGGGTAAGGTTTAGGCTGAGTACCTGAACCTGAGGGGCGTTTTCCGAGTCGGATGGGGCTTTGGCGTCAGTGCCTTGGCTTCCTGGCACAGCTTGGTTCTTTCCACGACGTATTCCGCGGTGGATCGTCCATTTCTGGAACGTTCCACATTTACGTTCACACACGATATAACGATATAATTTAATTTTTAATTTTGTATAATTAATTTTATGTAGATTTGTTTTAAGATAGTTTAGAAATTTATGAGAAATGAAATATTAGTTTAATTAATTAATTTAAATTATTACTTTTTTTTTGTATAAATAAATTCATTTCATATAAGTTTCATAATTCTCAATATTGATAATTTTTACCAATTGTAGATCAGTGTTTTCATTATTTTTATTATTTTTATTCACCGCATGGAATACGTTACCGTGTGGATACATTTTTCAGACGCGTATTATTGCACATTATACATATACGATTTCGAACCAGTGCCATGACATTAAAATGCAGCAAGAGGAAAACACTACCACACGCAATAGCACAAATGTTAATTTACTTAAAATAATTTAAAAAAAAAAATTAACAAGCCAAAAAAAACATTATTTCTAATTAATTTTTGTATTTCTAATTACTAAACTATGAAAATAAATATTATATCATAATTTATAATTATAAGATATTCTTTTAAATTGAGAGGAGAATATTTATTCTTTTTTATAAACATTAAGTGCATGCATTTATTAAATATTTTAGAAATAAATCTTACTTTTTCTTCTGATTCACTGTCTGTATTGGAACCTAATTCACTTCCATTTTCACTACCATTTTCTCCTTCCTTGCCACCACTTGTTAATTTTCTAGCTTGTCTATCCATTAATGATGTTCTAGTTCGCGTTTTTTTCCAGCTATAATAATATTTAACAAGACTGGCAATAGATTTATCTGGTAACTGTAAACATAAAAGACAAAAATATAAATAATTTTTTATATAATTTTAATATTTTTCAAATTTTTAATTCATGAAAAAAATTTACCATTTGACGAATTCGATGGAAGCTTTTCCCATGAAATTGAAATGCTTGTTCAAAAAGAACTTTATCTTCAACTGTCCATTCATCAGGAAATGGCGTAAAATTAGCTAAATCTAATACAGCACGCTCTAAATTATGTTTATGCCAAAATAACATTCCTAATGCTTGTTCTCCATTATAACCATATTTTTCTTTTGCTAATATAATATATTCATCCACTAATAAAAAAATATAATCTTTTTATAATCTATATATTTTAAATATTGAATAAAAGATAAAATTCATATTTACATTTTTGATCAGGTATATCGGTAGTAGGAGACCATACCAATAATGCCCTGTCAGGGCATTGATCTAATCGTCGTTCTGAAATATAAAATTTACAATTATGAAAATAATAATAAATTTAAAAAGTATAAACTTAAAAACTATTAAAAAATTGTATCATAGATATAAAAGAAATGTTAAATAATTCCATTGAAATAACATACCACTGACGGGAACAAATTCTGGAACAATGACTTGATAATCTCTTCCAACACGTATTTTTTCTGCTGGAACTTCAAGAAATATTAATGTTTAATTGATAAAAATTTTAAAATAAAATAAAAAATATATTTTTTCTATTTATATTATATATATAAATTATTTTAATATATAATTATATAAAGATTCATTAAAAAAAAAAATATTATAAAAATATGTATAAATTAAAATTTAATATTTAGTTCAAAAAATTAAATAAAATTATTGCATAAATATATTTATAGGAATTGACTGAAAATGTAAGAAGCTCAAAAGAAGAAAAGTAGGGCGCGCTGTTTAAAGATCCTACTGATTTTCGTGTTCGATCAATATAAAAATATGCAAACTTTTAAAGAATAATACATTTTTAAAGTTGTTGTATATTTATCATATATTAATTAAGATAGCATTTAAGAGAATCAAATTAATTATAATAATAATTGAAGTGCAATATGAAATTGGTACCTCCGTCTTCTTCGCTCGAAGATTCCGTCTGTCCGTTGGGGCTGGGACCTCTCGATCTGCGCCCATTTCTAACATTTTCCGAATTTCTTTCCGCCAAAACCATTCTCTAACTTTTCTTTGATTTAAGTTGTATCAAATTATTACGTTAATAAAAATTTTTTCGTAAAAAATCCAACAAAACCTACGATGCAAGCGATAGCTTGCAATTGCACCGTGCTCCGCAGAATCTGACTCGCGCTTCGTGCGACCGTAGCGAAAGTAAAATGGCTGCTTATTGAAAGTGATCTGATTGGTCAATGATTTACTAAGTAAAGATGGCAACGTATATTTTCAATGTATTTCGAAATTAATTGTGTTTTAAAAAACCAATATATTTATGAATTCTTTTTCAATTATTATAAATTTATTTTTTTATTGAACTTATATAATTTATTAAAACATATATAAATATTATATATTAAAATAATAAAAAAACTTTTGATTCTATCTGATTATCATAATAATATTAAATATTAGTATGTATTTATAATATTTTAAATTAATTTAAAAATCTTTTTATCTTAATAAAATAAGTAATAATGATTAAAATATTAATATTCTATATAAAATATATATGTATAATTATATATATATATAATATATAATATATACATATATATATATTTTATCATATCGTATAAAACATGTAGTTTCAATGATCTATTCCTATAGTCATAGGTAGAATGTGTCAACTAAACCCTAAACAAATGACGTTGATGTTAATAAACAAATATCTCGAAGTTATGTAATGTAAAAAGACAAAAATGAAAACTATTTCAACTCAATTTTATTCTAATAAATATACATATAATACTTGAAATTATGTATTTCATCTTGCAATAAATTATATTCTTATCTTATG